TCTGCCTCTCTCTCCTAAAATACAGATTACAACTCTAATCATTATTTCCCTAATTTTAGTTCTTATGTTAAGGGATCACTTTCTATATTGAGATATTGACTGTCTCTAACTCTCTCATCTTTCATGATTCTCTTTGCAAACTAAGACACATGTCTCTCCAAAATTCTATTCTAATGCAGCTGCTCTCCATTTTTACTGTTCATATCACACACACATCTTTACTGTACATATATATATATTACAAAAATCGAAGATATACTATATTTACATGTTATATTTTAGGGAAAGTTTTATCTAAACATCATGTAGTTGAATCTAAATTCAATGACAACTCCTATAACTACAACTTTTGTTTCTATAGTAGATAAAATAATGATTTAACTAAATATTTTATGAAAATACTAAAATTACTCTTTATTATGTAAATAGACTAAAATGTCATCAATTGTTTCCCCATTATATATGTGCTAGCCAGCTAACAAACGTAATTTTAATCATTATATTATCTCAATGAATTTTTTATTTTAAAACATCGTATTATAACTTTGTAATAATATTAGTCATCATATTATCACTCATTTGGTTACATAGTCAAGTTTTTATAATTTTTATATTTTATTTTCATAATGATTTTTTATAGTTAAAAATGATTTTTTTGTAATAAAAAATACAATTGATAAATTCAATGTTAAAATTTTATTCATTTCTAATTCCTCTGCTATCATATGTCCTCCACAACGTCGCCCGACCGCTCCTCGCACATCATACTTCATATATAAAATTTAAAATTATTTGATAAAATTTAATATTAATTGAATAAATTTGATCTTAATTTTGATAAATTTAAATATTAATTTAGTTTTAATTTGATAAAATTAAATATTAATTTAGTATTAATTTGATTTAATTTAATGTTAATTAAATAAATTTGAATGTTGTTTTAATAAAACTAAATGTTCATTTGATGTTAAATTAAAGAAATGACATTAATTTGATAGGTTAAATTTTAAATTAATGGAATTTAATATTCTATTTAATAAATTAAATAGTTTAATTTAATAAAATTGAATTTCAATTTGATATTGATTTGATAAAAATAAATAATAACTTAATACTAAATTAAAGAAATAATATTAATTTGATGAAATAAAATATAAAATTAATATAACTAAATACTAATTTGATAAAATTAAATATCAATTTTGTGTTGTTTGATGAGATGAAATGTTAATTTAGTTTAAATTAAATAAAGAAAATTACTTTGATCAAATTGAATATTAAATTGATCAAAATAAAGGCTAATATAATAGAACTAAAAGGGAGTGTACTGAAATTTCAAAATCAAGAAAAAGTGTTGTTAAAGTTAGCTCTATTTACAGGGACTGTTGTTAAAGTTAGGTTTATTTATAATGGGTGTAGATAAAATTTACCCTATAAAATACTCAGGGATATTTCTATAAATCAACCATCACCATTAACGGTGTAACCTGACAATTACTAACAGGGAGTGTCAGTGAAATTTCAAAATCGGAAGGAGGTGTCATTGAATTTCGCCCTAACTACAAGGGATCTGAATGAAATTTTTCGTTATATCCATACAAATCTATATATTAAAACACACGGGAAGTTAAACTTTATTCCCTATACATTTTCCACTCCCCAAAACCATCACATCACTCATTTCTACCGCATGCTCAACTATTGATTAATTTGTAATTTAACATAATTCTTATTTTAGATATTATCCATACACGATAGTATAGATCTTTTAAAAAAAATTATCGAATTACATATTTTGAGAAAATTTTGTCAATATCTTTAAGAAAATAATGGATAAAAATAAATTTTGAACGAATTAATCAAACAAATGAAAGAAAGAAAAAAATCATTGAATATAATAATATCAATTTTTTAGGACTCGAATTTTTTATTCTATCATGCCTTCAGGCATGAGTTATCACTAGTATATAATAAATCACATGGGAAGTTGAAATTTATCCCTTACATATTTTTACCCCCAATTTCATCACATCACCCATCTTATCAAATGTTCAATTATTTAATATTTAATTAATTTGTTGGTTAACATAATTTTTATTTTAGTTATTATCTATATACGATGATATACACATGTTGAGAAAATTTTATCGCATTATGTATTTTGAGAAAATTTTGTCAATATTATTAAGAAAATAATAAGTAAAAATAAATTTTAAATAAATGAAGAGAAACAATTGTTATTTAATATAGTGAGATCGAGTTTTTGGCCACTTGAATTTTATGTTTTTTGGTGCCTTTAGCCACAGGATATGACTGATATATATATATATATAGTAGTTATTTCAGGCACAGAGTAATAAAAAAATTTGTCAATAATAAACATATTTCTATTCACACACAAAATCAAATCACAACCAAAAAGGAGAAAAAAAAAGAAATTTAAGCATTGTTGGTAGTGGAAAACGATGATAATTGTGGTAAGTGGCGACGACTGTAATGGTGGTGGTAGCCATGGGTCGCAACGGTGATGGTGATGGTGAGTTTTGGGTGACGATAGTGATAGTGGAAGTTATGGATGACGGTAGTTATGGTGGTGGGGTGATGACAGTGGTGGTGGTGGTGGTGGGCGATGACAATGGTGGCGACGGGAGATGACGGATGTTTTTGAGCGACAGTGTGATAGGTAGTGGCGAATGACGATGGTGGTGGTGGTGATAGGTGTAGTGGGAGTGGGTGACAATGAGTAGCAGCAGTAGTGAACGATGACGGGTGGTGGTGGTGGTTAATGGTGGTTAGTGGTGGGTGTGAATGATAGTGGCTGGCAACGATTATGGGCGACGACTGATGGTGGTGGGCAATAATGGTGCTAGTGGGTGCTAACGGTGAGCAACGGTTATAGTGTAAGGATGGTGATAGTAGTAATAAATATGTGAATAAGATGACGATGGTGAGATTGGAGGATGACGGTGGTAGCAATCAGTCGTGGGTGGTGGTGGCGGTGATGGAGTGGCATGGTGATGGTTGTGGGGGTGATGGTGGTAAGGGTGATGATGGGAGAATGACAGAGGAGTTGGTGGGGTGGCGAAAGTGGTGGTGACGACAACGGTGGTGGTGGTTGGGCAATGGTGGTTGTTGTGGCAGAGGTGGTGGCAACGATGGTAGTGGTTGTTGTGGTGGGGCAGTGAAGGTGGTGCTAGTGGTAGGGTGGCAACAACGGTGGTGGTGGCCAGTGAGTATGGTAGTGGTGGTTGTGGCAGAGGTGACGGCGGCGGTAGTGGTGATGGTGGTGGGGCGGTGGGGAAGGTAGTGGTGATGGTAGTGATGGGTGGTGGGGCAATAAGTGGGGTGGTAGTACCAGGGCGGTTTCAAACACTATTTTTTTTAAAAAGTATTTAGGAGAAATTATAAATTCTAAAAGCACTTTTAAAAATTCACTTCAAACACACCCTTAGAAGCCTATTTTCCTTATTAAATTGGGATGTTGATATTAGCCGTCAGTTTAATTTTAAAATAGTGAAAAATAAAAGTCATTTTGTTTATCTTTTGAAATTTGAATTGTATTGTACTTTATTATATAGATAGTAACATTAAAAATAAAAAATAAAAATAAAAATTTCATTTAAATATAAAAAATAATATTATTTAAACAAAAAAAATAGCTACATTTAAACATAAAAAAATACTAACATTTAATATTAATATTTAAAAAAAATAACAATAGTAACATGTTTTACAAAAATAGTAACATATTTAACAAAAATAGTAACATGTTTAACAAAAATAGTAATATGTTCAACAAAAAAACAATAGCAATATAGAACATTGAACAAAATTGAAAATAAAATTAGTTACATTCAAACCCATAACTAGAGGAAAAAACCTCCAATTCATCAGGATCCAAAAAAGTAACATTGAAAAAATAATAACATGCTCAATAAAAATTAGTAACATGTAAAAAATGTTGATTTTCCTTGACACCTTCCTTTTTTTGCCAAGATATTTCTATTTGCCACAAGAAGTTTGTCACTAGCAGCATTACTTGTTGTTACAGTTGGAAAGATAAAAAGTTTGAGGAAATGAATGATATTTTTTCTACCTTATCAAATACAAAAACAAAAATCAAGAAAAAATCCCGATTTGCCCCTTGAAAGATACAAATTTTTTTACTTTGCCTCTCGAATAATTAATTTTTTCATATTGCCCCCTAAAAAACATTAAAATGTTGCAAAGTAGTCAATCGTCATTTTTTCCGTTTGTTGTCTGTTTGGTTTTGTTATCACGTGATTTGCACGTGATAACAAGAGAGGTTGTATTGTAAAATCATTGTCTGTGCAAAATCTTGTCTTCGTCTACCTCAGTGATTTAGGTAATCTACTGGGAGAGAGAGAGAGAGAGAGAGAGAGAGAGAGAGAGAGAGAGAGAGAAGAAGGGACTAGATTTGGGGAAGAAGATTGAGCAGATATGCAGATACTATTTGTGGATATTTTATTATCCAATTGCATCATGGTGATAGATCGGGCAGTAAGGGCAAGAAACGTTATATTGGCGGGAAGATAAATCACATAGATATGTGTGATGCTGACCATCCTTCTTTGATTGAGTTGGAGAATATGGTAAAGACTACGGAAGTGGGATACTCTGAGTTGAGCAGGTTCCACCAAATTACTACTGATGGATAGAAAGTATTAGAAAATGACAAACAGACCATGGAAATGATTAATTATGTTGATAGCGACAGAGTCATTGAAGTTTATGTTGAGCACTTCATTCCAAATGTGTTTATCCATAGTCAAGTTGATTCAAATGCAGGTGGTTTGGCAGAAAATCAAAAGGAAAATCAAAACTTTGAAAGTTCTAATGAGAGTGGCTCGTACTCAGACGGAGAGTCCTCAAAGTATGAATACTTTTATGATAATGAGTATGACAGGCATGATGATGAATTGTATGATACTTTTGTGGATCATGATGCTGAATTTGTTAGAGTTAACAAAGGGAAATGAATGGAGGAAGACAAAGGAGTTGCCAAAGGGAAAAGAATGGAGAAAGGCAAAGGAGTTGCCAAAGGTGAAGGAGTTGGTGACAGGGGCACAATTTATGGTGAAGAATATGACACGGATGAATTGGTTAGTCTTAGTGGATCATCATCAGAGGGTGAGGAAGGAGGAAAGTCCAAGGTTAAGTGTCCACACTTCAATGCTTGGACTGAAATGGTTGATCCACAATTTAAGCTCGATATGTTGTTCAGAAATGCAACTAAGTTTAGAGCCGCAGTTAGGCATCATGCAATCAAATGGGGCAAGGAGATAAGGTATATTAAAAATGATAAATGTAGAATAAGGGCAGTTTGTTGGCCTGATTGTGAATGGTTGATATTTGCTTCTAGCATGGCAAGTGAAAACAACATGCAAGTTAAAACATATAATGCTTCCCATAGTTGCAATAGAACTCTCAACATTAAACATGTCACTTCAAACTAGATTGCATATACATATGTTGATAGACTAAGATCAAACTCTACATGGCCTATGAAATCCTTCAAGGAAACTGTGCAGAAAGAGCATGTTCTAAACTTAGGAAAAAAGAGGTATTTAAAGCTAAACATAAAGCAATGGCAATTGTGAGTGGCACAGACAAAGAACAGTTCAGTTTATTATGGGATTACTGTGAAGAGTTAAGAAGAACCAACACAAATACAACTTGTATAATCAAGTTCAAGAATTAAGAAGAACAATTCAGTTTTAATGTATATTAAATGTTCAGGTGGACAAACCTGTAACTGACTCAGAAACTAGAAACCCCAATTCTGCATGCCCACATCCATCTCAATCCCATCTGCAACATTGAATGTTCCAATTGGCAGACAGCAATTCCCTATAAGATATGAAGCATTTCATGTTTGTTATCATGCTTGTTTTTATTTTTCAATAAGTGAGCTAATTTTTATTATTCATTAACAGATTAGAAGGAGGAACAATGGATCACAATATGAACCTACAATTTTATCAACCAAATCAGTCAAGAAGCCATCAGCATCTACTTCCATTCAGTTTGCTTGGAGAGCACCATCAGCATCACAAAAATCAACTTGGAATACACCAAGTAATGCATCAAAAAGTAGTTGAAAGCCAGAAAGCAGTCTCCCACAGAAGAATGTGGTTCACCACAAATCAAATTGAACACAAGGCAAACATACCATCAAGTTGAACATACCAACAAATTGAACACAAGTTGAAAATACTAGATAGCTATCTCTTTTGTTAACATATCCCAGCTAGCTGTTTCTTTTGTTATACATATTTCTGATGTAGCTGAACCGCAACACTTTTTTGGTAAATGAATATGCATTTTTTGTGAAATGAATATGCACTTTTTAGTAGAATGAGAAACCAAGTTGATTCATGGATACACAAATTCACTATCGAATCATAATATTACATAACTTCATTATTTCATTATAGCAACCATCATCATATTACATACAACAAAATATCTAACTTGGCAAAAAAATTTCATCAGTGTCACCTAGCTTCACTTCACCGATCACACATTCACAACAGTTGCAAAGGCAAAATATCCATCAGCTTATACTTCATGGATACGCATTCACAACAGTTGCAATGGCAAAATACCTCCATTTGGAACCTCCATAGCTGAGCCATGTCCATCAATTGCATTAATGTAGACACAGAAGATCACAATGAGAAACCAGGAACCAATCATGCAGCACCAAAGCATCCTCTCTCTTACTCTGGATTGCTCCAACTACTCTTCAAAATGTATAACACGATGCAGCAAACCCGGAATTATATGGCGTGATCTAGTACACATTGGGGGATCAATCCATAGAAAGTAACCACACTTAGCTGTAACCATAAGAAATGTTGAAAAGAAACTGAACAAAACCATCGGTAGTACGCACTAAAAGTGGAAAATAAGTTGTTCGATGTGCAGAAAACATAATTTTCAAGAAATAAAACTAACCCTAGTTGTAAAAAATCCCTAATTTATCAAATACAAGTTGTAATAATCAGTTGCTTGAACACCAATATCTTGCTAAATAATATGGACACAAACCAACTAAAGATGAATAATGGAACAACTTACCTCGTTATTCGCACATGTGATAAATCTCCTTCCTGGGTTCAAATCTGTCCCCGATGTCTTCGTTTCGGGAGTTCTACCATAGTAACATATGGATTGCATTTCTCCTTCTTCTCCTACTTTCTGGAACTTCTTCTTCCACGAACAAACCTGGGAACCGAAATCTCTCTCTCTCTCTCTCTCTCTCACACACACACAGTAGATTACCCAAATCACTTGGGTAGATGAATGATTTTACATAGACAATGATTTTACAATACATCCCCACCTATTATCACGTGCAAATCATGTGATAACAAAACCAAACGGACGACAAACGAAAAAAATGACGATTTACTACATTGTAACCTTCTAAAGTCTTTCAGGGGACAATATGGAAAAATTAATCATTCGGGAGGAAAGTGAAAAAATTNTTCAGGCATGAGTTATCACTAGTATATAATAAATCACATGGGAAGTTGAAATTTATCCCTTACATATTTTTACCCCCAATTTCATCACATCACCCATCTTATCAAATGTTCAATTATTTAATATTTAATTAATTTGTTGGTTAACATAATTTTTATTTTAGTTATTATCTATATACGATGATATACACATGTTGAGAAAATTTTATCGCATTATGTATTTTGAGAAAATTTTGTCAATATTATTAAGAAAATAATAAGTAAAAATAAATTTTAAATAAATGAAGAGAAACAATTGTTATTTAATATAGTGAGATCGAGTTTTTGGCCACTTGAATTTTATGTTTTTTGGTGCCTTTAGCCACAGGATATGACTGATATATATATATATATATAGTAGTTATTTCAGGCACAGAGTAATAAAAAAATTTGTCAATAATAAACATATTTCTATTCACACACAAAATCAAATCACAACCAAAAAGGAGAAAAAAAAAAGAAATTTAAGCATTGTTGGTAGTGGAAAACGATGATAATTGTGGTAAGTGGCGACGACTGTAATGGTGGTGGTAGCCATGGGTCGCAACGGTGATGGTGATGGTGAGTTTTGGGTGACGATAGTGCTAGTGGAAGTTATGGATGACGGTAGTTATGGTGGTGGGGTGATGACAGTGGTGGTGGTGGTGGTGGGCGATGACAATGGTGGCGACGGGAGATGACGGATGTTTTTGAGCGACAGTGTGATAGGTAGTGGCGAATGACGATGGTGGTGGTGGTGATAGGTGTAGTGGGAGTGGGTGACAATGAGTAGCAGCAGTAGTGAACGATGACGGGTGGTGGTGGTGGTTAGTGGTGGGTGTGAATGATAGTGGCTGGCGACGATTGTGGGCGACGACTGATGGTGGTGGGCAATAATGGTGCTAGTGGGTGCTAACGGTGAGCAACGGTTATAGTGTAATGATGCTGATAGTAGTAATAAATATGTGAATAAGATGACGATGGTGATTGGAGGATGACGGTGGTAGCGATCAGTCGTGGGTGGTGGTGGCGGTGATGGAGTGGCATGGTGATGGTTGTGGGGGTGATGGTGGTAAGGGTGATGATGGGAGAATCACAGAGGAGTTGGTGGGGTGGCGAAAGTGGTGGTGACGACAACGGTGGTGGTGGTTGGGCAATGGTGGTTGTTGTGGCAGAGGTGGTGGCAACGATGGTAGTGGTTGTTGTGGTGGGGCAGTGAAGGTGGTGCTAGTGGTAGGGTGGCAACAACGGTGGTGGTGGCCAGTGAGTATGGTAGTGGTGGTTGTGGCAAAGGTGACGGCGGCGGTAGTGGTGATGGTGGTGGGGCGGTGGGGAAGGTAGTGGTGATGGTAGTGATGGGTGGTGGGGCAATAAGTGGGGTGGTAGTACCAGGGCGGTTTCAAACACTATTTTTTTTAAAAAGTATTTAGGAGAAATTATAAATTCTAAAAGCACTTTTAAAAATTCACTTCAAACACACCCTTAGAAGCCTATTTTCCTTATTAAATTGGGATGTTGATATTAGCCGTCAGTTTAATTTTAAAATAGTGAAAAATAAAAGTCATTTTGTTTATCTTTTGAAATTTGAATTGTATTGTACTTTATTATATAGATAGTAACATTAAAAATAAAAAATAAAAATAAAAATTTCATTTAAATATAAAAAATAATATTATTTAAACAAAAAAAATAGCTACATTTAAACATAAAAAAATACTAACATTTAATATTAATATTTAAAAAAAATAACAATAGTAACATGTTTTACAAAAATAGTAACATATTTAACAAAAATAGTAACATGTTTAACAAAAATAGTAATATGTTCAACAAAAAAACAATAGCAATATAGAACATTGAACAAAATTGAAAATAAAATTAGTTACATTCAAACCCATAACTAGAGGAAAAAACCTCCAATTCATCAGGATCCAAAAAAGTAACATTGAAAAAATAATAACATGCTCAATAAAAATTAGTAACATATAAAAAATGTTGATTTTCCTTGACACCTTCCTTTTTTTGCCAAGATATTTCTATTTGCCACAAGAAGTTTGTCACTAGCAGCATTACTTGTTGTTACAGTTGGAAAGATAAAAAGTTTGAGGAAATGAATGATATTTTTTCTACCTTATCAAATACAAAAACAAAAATCAAGAAAAAATCCCGATTTGCCCCTTGAAAGATACAAATTTTTTTACTTTGCCTCTCGAATAATTAATTTTTTCATATTGCCCCCTAAAAAACATTAAAATGTTGCAAAGTAGTCAATCGTCATTTTTTCCGTTTGTTGTCTGTTTGGTTTTGTTATCACGTGATTTGCACGTGATAACAAGAGAGGTTGTATTGTAAAATCATTGTCTGTGCAAAATCTTGTCTTCGTCTACCTCAGTGATTTAGGTAATCTACTGGGAGAGAGAGAGAGAGAGAGAGAGAGAGAGAGAGAGAGAGAGAGAGAAGAAGGGACTAGATTTGGGGAAGAAGATTGAGCAGATATGCAGATACTATNAGAGAGAGAGAGAGAGAGAGAGAGAGAGAAGAAGGGACTAGATTTGGGGAAGAAGATTGAGCAGATATGCAGATACTATTTGTGGATATTTTATTATCCAATTGCATCATGGTGATAGATCGGGCAGTAAGGGCAAAAAACGTTATATTGGCGGGAAGATAAATCACATAGATATGTGTGATGCTGACCATCCTTCTTTGATTGAGTTGGAGAATATGGTAAAGACTACGGAAGTGGGATACTCTGAGTTGAGCAGGTTCCACCAAATTACTACTGATGGATAGAAAGTATTAGAAAATGACAAACAGACCATGGAAATGATTAATTATGTTGATAGCGACAGAGTCATTGAAGTTTATGTTGAGCACTTCATTCCAAATGTGTTTATCCATAGTCAAGTTGATTCAAATGCAGGTGGTTTGGCAGAAAATCAAAAGGAAAATCAAAACTTTGAAAGTTCTAATGAGAGTGGCTCGTACTCAGACGGAGAGTCCTCAAAGTATGAATACNCATGTAATGTTGAATATGAAAATAAAGAGAACAGATTGATACCTGCAGCCTTGGGGTCATTGATAGCAACACAAAAGTCCTGCAAAGGACTAGGATCTGATGCATAGGCAAAGGAGGAAGCCAGAGCCACAAGGGCAATTGTAGCCAGGAAGTGATTGGCCATCTTTATATGAAGCAAATTGCCTTTTCTTTGAAGTATTGCTTGGTGAGAGCTGAAAGATTTAGCATGGTAAAAGCCCTTATTTATAGTCATGTGGCCTTGAATGAGTCATTACTTAATGCATTTTGTTTATATTAACCAGAGAAGACTTACCAAGTCTTGAATGGTTAGGTTTTTTTTCTATTTCAAAGACAAAGTATTCCTTCTATTAGTGTTTATTTTCGACATTATATGCTAACACAACATGAACCCAACAAAAAATTAGCAAGAGTATGATTAGTTAGTATTCTTGGCATGAAATCTAAAATGAAATGACCCGATGACAAATTGGTAGGCTACTATTATACATAAATAATTGGATTTTAACACAACAAATTGTTTAATTAGTATTATTTAAAGAAAATCTATGATTTT